CCACTCATTCACTCACTCGCTCCCTCCCTCCGGCACACTCATTCACTCACTCGCTCCCTCCCTCTGTCACTCCCTCACTCTCTCCCTCATTCCCTCGCTCCCTCTCTTCCTCCGTCACTCACTCTGCCCCTCGTTCCCACCTCCCTCCCTCGCTCCCTTCCTCACTCCCTTTCTCACCCCCTTCCTCACGCCATTCCTCGCTCCCTTCCTCACTCCCTCCCTAGCTTGCTCTTGTCATTGCTCCCTCGCTCACTCCCGCACTGACATGCTTGCTCACTCACTCACTCACTCACTCACTCACTCGCTCAGTCACTCACGCACGCACACAAGCAGGCGAATGAGAACTTTCCTGGCTGGGAAATTGGATTTGGGTGAGCTGGACAACACCTGCGTAGGAGAACTGGGAAGGCCCAGACAGGCGAGGAGATTGATAAAAAGAAAAGAAAAGAAGTATGACTACTGGTGGGATCTGCGCTCAGCCTGAGCAGTCACTCCAGCTCTTTTGTTTCCGTCTGATAGCTCTTGCAGGAGTTGGGGGGGGTCAGAGGCAGGGTTCAAAAGGGTCTAGAGAAGTGTGCCTGAACTTTGTTTTTATGTTTTAGTTTTTGTCCCGAATTTGGAAAGGAATCTTGAGGTGCAATACTTCCCACCCAGAAGAGCCTGAGTTAAATAGCGGATATAGATTAAAGGTAAATTGTCTGCCTTCCAAGCAGGGGATATGGGTTCGATTCCCGTTATCCGCAATACTTCCCACAACCTTGGATGCTTGGAAACCCAGGGAATGAAGCGACCTGGCATGGCCCTTCCTGGACCTGGCTGCATGGTTGGGATCCCAGGTAACAAAGCCAGCTCAGTTGCTTGGCTGTTAGCCCAGCTTCCAACAGGATTCTCGAGAAGTTTCATTCAGCTACAGGGGTTGGGATTGTCGAGGAAGTGTCGTTGCAGCTGAGATAGGTCCATAAATGCAGCAAGTCAGTATCTATGGATTCTCTCCTAGTTTGAGATGCCTGGATCGATAGCCATTTCGCCAGAACTATCATATGCTTGAAATTTGTGGGAACAAAGGAGTGGATTGCCGTAAATAACTCTGAGATGAGTAAAATGTTTTGTCTTCTTCGCAACCTAATGATTGTCGGGTTCTACTCCATGTTATGGTTGTTTCAAACAGATACAAATTCTACGAAGTTGATGTGAACAGCGTGCCCGGATCACTTGTCAAGAGAAGCGGTATAACTGTGAGTATACAACATCCCCATTCATTCTCAGCTGAGTTTTCTGGATCGCTCATCTGCCAACATCCCTATCTTGCAGTCAATATATATATATAGAGAGTAAAAGGTGGAACGGCCTTGTCTGCCCAAAGTGGAATAATACAGGGTGTATACACTGTATAGCATGTCACTCACCCGTTGAAGGAAAGGCATGCACAAATGAAGACGACGTGGTTTAAAATTATGAAGAAAAACTTATTAAAATTTAAAAGCATTGGAAGAAAACAATGTTGATCATTGAAGATTGACTATTTTAGTATTTTGCAAATTTGCACCCAATCTGTTGCCTGAACAAGGCCAAAACCCACTCATCCATGTTGCCTCAAAACCCGCTCATTGGCCAAGGTGGTTGTTTAAAAAAAGCCCCATGGCTTTTGAGTGCCTATCTGTTGGATAATTGGGTTATCTGGCAGACACATAGGATCGTTAATGAATATAAGACAAGAGCAGTTTTTTTTTGAACTTTTTTTAAGTTAAAAAAGAGCTGATAATTACAACAGGGTTCAGGTTTTTTTTTAACTTTTTTAAAGTTTTTTTTATGTTTTTTCGAAATTTTTCCTCTAATCTTTTTGAAGGGTTGTGTCGTTTCTTTTCAGGGAGAAAAGGTGCCAAAATAGAGAAAGTCTATGCTATTTCTTTCTGGTGGAGCAGCAGACTGGTTCCTTTCCCATCATCAGCACATATAAACACAGTAGAATACACAATGTTTCCTCTGTCCATGGCAGGAGGGCTGTACACTACACCTCCCTCCCTTCCCAAGGGTTCAGACTTCTCATCCTTCCATGCCCGACTCTCCTCTGATTCTATCTGTCGTTTTTTTTCCACTGTTGCTTTCTGACTAGCACTTATATCATCTTATGCTTTTTGATGGCACAGTCACCCTATGTCGATGCCAAAAAAAGCCAGAGGTATCGGTGGGTTGAACAGCGAGAACGAGTATGCTCAACTTGGCTTTTCTCTTTTTTTTCCTTAGAAAAAGACGACTTCTTGTGCTATCATCGGTTTAACTGACCAGCCCCGAGTAATTCAGAATTATTTTACTTGTCTGCAATGAACCCACTCGAATTGAACAGACAATCGCAACTTGCAGCACACTGAAAGCTCTTCATCCAGACACTGAAGTGGCAAAATTAGCCCACGCGAAGTTGAAAACGCCTCAAAGCACTTTATATTATACAGGAATTGAGTTCTGAATACAAGCAGTTAATGGCTGCTATCACCAACAACATCAAACAGTTAACCCTCTCTCTCTCGTTCTTGCTATGCTCTCTCTCTCTCTCTCTCTCTCTCTCTCTCTCTCTCTCTCTCTCTCTCTCTCTCNTCTCTCTCTCTCTCTCTCTCTCTCTCTCTCTCTCTCTCTCTCTCTCTCTCTCTCTCTCTCTCTCTCTCTCTCTCTCTCTCTCTCTCTCTTGCTATGCTCTTTCTCTCTCTCGGTCTCTGCCTCACTTCCCTCTCTCTCTTGCTCTCTCTCTCTCTTCACTTCTGTCTCTCGCTCTATCGTTGGATTTCTCACACTCGCTCTGCACTTGCCTCTCTCTCTCTCTCCCTCTATCCTACTGGCTATGGTGGCGTCCTTGTCACCCAACCCTAGCTATGGCGCCAGATTGCCCTTCTCCTTCCTCAGTCTCTGCTAGTCCCCAACTCACTGGAGTGCACGAGCGCCACAGCAGAGCCTCCGCATCATACTAATTGACAGGTGACGTCAAGCGGCACTGTAGCATTTATGAATAGCACCTGAAGTGAGATCTTTGTCGGCTTCGGACCAGCGGACTGTTGCTGCGGACTGTCGGCTGCGCTCTGCCAGTTCCGGAACCTACTGGACTTTCCCAGGATGCTGCTGCAAAATTGCCCTTCGGGACCTTTGACGCTGTCTGTCGGGTACCCGGTCTGATTCCTAACGATGACCTACGGCGCTTCGACTACCGGACCCTACCAGACCTAAGGGACTGCGAATTGACAACTTGGCCATGGGGCCTGCCTTCGCACGGGACTGGGACTAACTGGGACTCTGGGACCAGGACTCGGGACAATGACACAGCATGAAATCCCTTTCATATCTGCTGTGAAGTCAGGTCTGCTTATCAACAGTTCATGGGTGTACCATTCAGCCACTTGTTTTTTCCCCTTTTCTGTTTCGAATTCTGCGTAACCCTTGTTTATTACATCTCCTTTGAAATTCCTCACCACCTAAAACAACAGTCAGCCTTATCCTCTTTATTTTTCTTCCTCCCCACCTTCGGCAGTCTCCCTAACCCCGATTATTTGATTAAATTGATTTCCTCACCTAACCCCGCTTATTTGATTTCCTCACCTAACCCCGATTTCGGGGTTGATTTCCTCACCTAACCCCGATTATTTGATTTCCTCACCTAACCCCGATTTC